TTGGCGGAGCCGCCGCTGAGGCAGAGCCTAGCGAGGGGCCGGTTCTTCCTCGCGGCGGCCTCCGGCCTCTCCGGGGCGGCACGGCGGAAACCTCGTAACCCGTGAAGGCGGGAGTCGCCGTTTCGCGGGAGCCTGGCCGCCCTTTCCCTGCTGCTGGGATCATTTGTCGAACTTGGCCGGGAATACCGCGGGTGGGCGGGGGGCGTTTGCGGTGCCGCGACGGGAGGCGGCGAGGAGAGGGGCTGCCCGGCCCGGCAGCTCGGTTGTAAAACAAAGATGTTCTGAGCGCTCTCCCCAGGGTGTGCTCAAGTTAACTGCCTAGTGCTGTGTTGGCTGCTCAGCTTTTAGATCCTGCTTTTAAATTTTGTGTTTGGGTTCATGGTACCTATCTGTTACAGAATGACGCTGCGGGCTTAGAGATAAGCAACGTCAAAGCGGTTGTAGTAGCCGTAAAAACGGTTTGGTAGTATCATCCAGAAACATTCTGTGCCTTTTTTTTTTTCCTTGCAGATTAATGTAACCAAAGTTAACTTGTGGTAACTTCTCAAATTGCTTTATAATGAGTTCAGGGAGGCTGCCAGTGTCCGTGCTGGGGCCTGGTCCCCCGGGCAGCGGCGGAACCGGCCCGTGGCACCTTCTCGCCCTGGGCAGCCTTGGCCCGGTGGGGCAGACGATGCTGCGAAGTCCTTGCTGGGGAAGCTTTCATGTGATCGCTGGAGTTGCCATTTATTGAGTATTAAGTATGAACTTTTGAAAGATCCGAGTTTGGCTGCTGTGGAAATAAGTGATTTAGTTTTCTGCCTCGTGCGTGTTTGCAGCCAGCGCACTCAGGAGAACGGTGTCTCCCACCGCTTCTGGCCGTGGGAGAGTAGAAACTGATGGTGTCAAGATGGAAAAAGTTACGGTATATTGAAGAAATTTAATGTTGCTTTGCCGCAGCATTGTCTGGAAAATGTTTGATTCTCCACAATAGCTTTCTCCTGCGGTTTCACTCTGTTCTGAATTAAGTGGTTCTATACCAAGTTTTTTTCCTGGTTAATTAATGAAAAAAATGTCTGTTGTTATATTCCTTTGCTGGTAGGATAGAACAGTGTGTTTTAATATGTACTTAAAATTTATTTCCTACACAGCTTTCTTCAGAGTTGAGGAGTCAGTGTGCACAAAAAGCATTAAGATCATGTTTGTTTCATAAATTAGAAAAAAAAGCAGGAGTAAAGGGATTGAGAACTGCTTGATTTGAAGGCCTCTGATTTGTCTTGGTAACATGGAAATATTTTGAACTTTGTTTTTAGACTGAAAAGCTGTAAGCACCTTTAAAAACATGTTAATGATTCCAGGTGAAAGAAGTGAGAAATAAATGCAAACTCTCTCTGTTTTGTTTTTTTCTTCCTCCTTTTTTTTTTTTTTCTTTCCCAGCAAAATCGAGTAGGAAACTTACTTTCCTATATTTAGCAAACGATGTCATCCAGAACAGTAAGAGGAAAGGTCCTGAATTTACTAGGGAATTTGAATCTGTTCTTGTGGATGCTTTTTCTCATGTTGCCAGGTATGTTGCTGTATTATGTATGTATTCAACTTTTCTCTCTTGAGATTTGCATTCTTGTTATACAGGGTTGAATTCAATTGGATTTTGTTTTGCTTTTTTTTTTTTTTGTAAGTCTCAGGGATGCTTGTACTCTCTCTGTAGTAGAGATTGGATTCTGACTGCTCTGTGGCTAACAACTGTTGAGTGTTAATGTTTCTCTTTGGTCAAACTTGTCTCTCTGTGAATCGGCCCCTCGCGGCTTTACATTTGTTCTGCGTGTGCAACTCCTGCAGACTTAATTGTTACCAAAAGGTCTTGCAGATCTGTTTGTGGGCACTGAAACTGAGCAGTTGCATGTGCTCATCAGAGCCAGGTAACGTTGTCAGAAGGCTTTAAAAGAGCTGGTATTTTGGGTCACTGGGTTCTAGTCAGTCTCCTGGTCTGAGTGCAATTTCTTTTTGTATTGCTCGTTTTAACGGTTATCTGATCGTTAGTCTCCTTGCTAAAGGAAGGAAGAATTTTATATGTAAAAGGGAAGAAGTGATGCAGCTACCATCCTGTCAAAAATGGACTATCACTTAGTTAAGATTTTCTCTAAATAGCGCACTAATTCCAGTTACCTCAGCTAAGCAGCTCTAATGTTCTGTGTTAGTGGGATGCTGTTGGGGATGGCTGGCTGACTTTCAGTGCGCTGTACGAGTACATTTAAGTGCCTAATGATCCAAACAACCTGCTTTTTAATTGGGATGTTACTGGCTGAAACAACTGTTTAAAGTTAATACTCTGAGTTGTAAACATGTCAACTTTAGGGTATTTTATAACCCTCCTCGCAAATTCTGAATTGATAGCAAGTTTCTTCCTTCAAAACTTTGCTGCCCTGACTTTGGAGTGGGAACATGGGGCACTTTCGGACAACCTTTGGTTCCAGTAAAAGGGGAAAATTGGCCACAAATGCGTTTTGCACGGTCTGTCTCAGATGATAAGAAAGAGATTCTCTCCAAACGTGCAAATATTGTAATGGATACAGCTGTTAGATGCTCTCTTAAACATAAGGAATGTTTTTCAGCTGAAGTATAACAATTTTCTAATCTTTGAACAGAGAAGCAGACGAGGGCTGCAAAAAGCCCTTGGAACGATTGCTTAACATCTGGCAAGAAAGGAGCGTGTATGGCAGTGAGTTCATACAGCAACTGAAACTCTCTATGGAAGACTCCAATAGCCCCCAAACTAAAGGTAAACACGTATTGCTTTAGTCATGTGCTTTATTTTGCTTTTTTTAAATTGGTGCATGTTCCACTGCAAGTACTGTGAGGAGTCGAGCTCTGGCTCCTGTAGTTGAGTGGCTGCCGGAGCTGGTCATGGAGATTCTTCAGGATTGTCTTGCAGAGTGATTTTTGTTTAACCCGCAGTTCCAGTTTGCCAGTGTGTTGCCTTGTGGCTAGCAGTAAGCTTAACTTAAGGTAATGTCGTCTTCTGCTCATGCAGACAGAACACTCCAGGGCTGCCTTTTGATGTGAAGACGAGTAGGGTGCAGGGAACTTCTGCGTCCACCTGGAGAGTTAAAATTGTCCCACTCCACAGCTCTGAGAGTGGTCGGCTGGGTTATTACGATGGTTTTTTTCAAATGCTTTAATTCTCATACAAATTGTTTTATTTTGCATAGTTACTATATTTTGATTCAGAGAGGACTTTTTAATTGAAGGCTGGAATATATGCCCAAAGTTTGTCTGGTCTCTTTTTTCTTATACCAGCTGATGGCGTTTGGGGAAAACAATAACTTAGCATCATTTTAACCTCATTAGACCGTCACGGTTATAATCTTATTACTGCATGAGACAGATGTGAGAAACCGAATATAAGCTTCTTGCGTTTACTGTGCTTTTCTACTGCTTTGGCAGATACTGCCTCTTCTGTAGCATCTGAAAGTATTTAACTGGTAGTGCAGTAATGAAAAGTGGGGAGCAGTAGGGTGCCTAACCCGTGGAAGGTGAGGGTCGAAAATTGAGTGTTCTGGTCTGGGGAATATTTGTTCACTTCACAGCTAGAGGAAGTGTCAGTGTCTTCAAATTAGATAAAATCACATGGATGCTTTGACTAAATTTTGCTCTGTTCCCCACAGAGGTGCGATGCTTTGTGGGAGAGCTGGCTTAGTCATTAGTAAAGTGCTCTTTTGCTGTTCTTAGGTGGTGAGAACAAGCAGGATGTGTTTACCGGAGTTGGTAATTATTACAGAATTAATATGAAGACATGTTAATATCTACAGCAGGTCACGGGGCGGCCACAGAGATGCTTGGGGTGCTGGAGCAGCTCACTTATGGGGACAGGCTGAGAGAGTTGGGGGGTTCAGCTGGAGGAGAGAAGGCTCTGGGGAGACCTTAGAGCGGCCTCCCAGGGCTGAAAGGGGCTGCAGGAAAGTGGGGAGGGATAGGACGAGGGGTGACAGTTTTAAACTGACAGAGGGCAGATTTAGATGAGCTCTAAGGCAGAAGTTCTTCCCTGCGAGGGGGGTGAGGCCCTGGCACAGGCTGCCCAGAGAAGCTGTGGCTGCCCCCTCCCTGGAAGGGTTCAAGGCCGGGCTGGACGGGGCTTTGGGCAACCTGGGCTGGTGGAAGGTGGCCCTGCCCGGGGCAGGGGGTGGCACTGGATGGGCTTTAAGGTCCCTTCCCACCCAAACCCTTCCATGGCTCTGTGATGAGTGTTAATACGAGGCATGCCTCTGAAGACATGTGTCTATGGCTGCAGTTTTGTGGTTTTTCACATACTTGTTCAGCCAGAATGACTGGGTGGTGCTTTAGCAGCTACAGCAGAGACCTTCCAACTTACTGTCATTGAAGTATGACATTCAGAAGGTCTTGGCATTTTTTCCCCAAGTGCTGGGAACCAGCTGACCTCAGCAAAGGGGTTGTCTCTTCTGTGTTGGCAGAGGGAGTCTCTGCTCTGGACGGGGGCAGAGGGGAAGGGTCCAGGTGTGCAGTCAGCACAGACTGCCCCGTGCAGTCCCGAATCTTCTGTTTGGGTGCAATGTGTAAGACACCTGTTTGTCAGGAAAGGACAGAATTTACGTGCCTGAATTCCTGTTGAACTGAGGATTTGAAACTGTTAAATTAAGGTACCTAAATACATGTTTCACAAGCGTTTAACTTTTAATCCTAACAAAATGATACCGAGCGTCGAAGAAACATTTGGGGTGTCCTGGTGAGTTGGGAACCAACTGCTGCTGAGTGTCGTCCTCCCTTTGGCTGGTGGTATCCATCAGTCCTTCTGCGGTTATCTTCTCAAGTTAAACGTGTTTATACAGAATGAAACCCATCCCAAATGTAACAGACCTTTGTCTGTGGGAAACAGAATGAAGGAATACAAACATTTTAAGAACTTCTGTGTGCACATCTTCGCTTGGCGAGCAACTTAGTTTTTGTCTGGGTGCTTGGAGATGTCATTGTAGTATCATTTATTTGAGAGAACAGTTCAGCCCTTTTCGGGAGTGTGAGTATTTCTGCCTTCTTGCCAATTTGTTGTAAAAAAGAAATGGAGATTTTTAAACTAAGAGAATAAATTTTAAACAGTCAGCAGAGTTCTCCTGAGATTTCCACCTTGTTTTGACTGACTTATTTTTGAATGAGCTTCTTAATGGTAAGAGCTGGTTTCACATGGGGTTTTTATGGATTTCTAAGTAAACTGTCATTTGTCCAGTTTCTGGTGGGTGACTCTGTTGCAGGAGGCTTTGCTGTAGTTACTCTATTCCGTTTTCAAACAGGTGAACATAAGCAAGGTGGACAAGAATGTGTTATGTTTACAGATATAATGTTTATCATAAACATGGAAAGCCATAGCTCAGTGCTCCTCCAAACCTGGTCTGACTTCCTGGCTTTGTGTACACCCGAGGTAGACCCAGCTGAGAAATAGGTGGTGATGGTGTCTGTAGACTGGTGCGAGGCTGTGCCATTAAAACAAAGTTTTGGAGCTCCTTAAGAGTATCTGGTGCCGCGGTAAAGAGTGCTGGTTCCCTCAGCCTAAGGTATGGCAGCAGGCCTGTGCAGGTGGGTCTCTGCGGCTTTTCCATATCGCAGTGTCTTAAACCAGATGGGCTGGCAGGTGCCACTCGCTGAAGGGGGTGGCCCCGCTCGGGTTGCGGGGCACCACTTACAGGTGTGAAATGCCAAAACACCGCAGAGTCCTGCCTCAGCGGGGAGCGGCATCGTTAACGCTCCTCGGTCTGCGGTTCAGCGGTGCAGCTTGTTTCCTGTTCCATTAGCAGCAGGGCCCTGGGTGAGCCTGTGGCAGTTCGGCTGGCGGCACGTGCCGAGTTCCTGCCGTGGAGCAGAGCTGACTGCACAGAAAATGAAGCTTTGTCTTCAGAGCAGCGGAGGAGGCAGAGCACGGGCCCTTCCCAGGCATTGCGTTCCCTGGTGCCGACTTCCTCAGTGGTGCAGCTCGCTACCACATCTCAGTCTTTGGGTTCCTTGAGCAGATACACGTCTACATGGAAATGAGGTTTTGAGCATTGATATCGTGTATTCTTTTAACTCTAATTGTATTCATTAAGCTTGCATTTGCTTTCTCATTAACCTCATTTTTATTAGAATGTTTCTTTTGACAAGCAGTAGGGAAGAGAAGAACCACTCATCTTAAAGCCTGAGAAAGCTGGGTCTGTAGAGGTTTGGTGTAAAATCCTTTAGGTAACGTAACCTATATAGCTGACATGTTTTCATTGTCTTTGTACTAAGCAGCTGAAGGAAGCCCTTGGATGTGCTGTGATGTAGGAATGTCGCACTAAGGCAGAACTGAACTGCTGCCCATCTGCTCTGGTTGTGTCTATATTGCAAATCCTGGCGCAGGAAGTCAGCCCCGTGTTAAAATGTGGAGAAAAGCATCAGAGAGGAGAGCGGGCAGGGATGCTTCCAGGAATTACGGAAATAAAGCACCTGGAGAAGGACTAGGAATCATTCCGGAGCAGATCAAGTCCAGTTACGCTCGGCCTAGGAGGGGCTGCCAGGAAATCTGTGTGTAATGAGAACTTAACTGTGAATAGTCTACCTCAGAGAAATGAAGGGTCAGAGCAGTTGGGGGGTACCTGGGGCCTTTGGGTTTCTCTTTATTTTGTTCTTCTCTGTCTTCTGGTGTTCCGTGATGGTCTTCTGTTTTCTTTTAGGAATGCTGTCTTATTTGTTGTTGTATTCAGTCTTTTGTCCTAAATCACTTTCCGAAAGTGTCTTTCATGTGAGTTTACTTGGATTCTGCACAAGTTGCTAAGCCCCTGGTACTTGGAACCTAAAGCCCACATAAGTTGGTTTTTTTAGTTGTAGGTTTGGGAGGCTTATTTTTTTGTTATGCTGATTGAGGACAATAACCCTGCCAACACAAAAACCCACTTAGACTCAGCTGGTCTGCTTTTAAAGAAAACTGCTACCTATAGAACTTCAGAGGTACAAACCCTGGTTTACAGGTTTTCTGTTGCTGTACGCTCTCAGTTAAATGGTGTTTCCTTGCAAGTCTCTGCTCATGCCACTTGTCATGTACCTGTATGCTTAACTCTTGCAAAAGGCACGTGATGTACCTGTGCCGAGACTAATAAATCCTCATGTGATTTAAGGACTATTTGGGTTGGGTTTTTTTCAAAACCACTGGAACCCTTTGCCTAGTTGCGTCCAGTGAAAGTCATTGTCTGCCTGGGGGGTTCCTTACCATGAGCTGTGGCTGCTTCTTGAACGAGGAGACAAACGTAACCAAGCCCTCATGGGAGAAGATAATTTTATATTGCCTTGAGATTAAAAAAAAAACCCACACAAACCAACTGTTTTTAATGAACAGAGGGAAGATTTAAACTCCTAGTTACCTTTTTGGATGTGTGTGTACAGATTCCACAGTTGGTTTCTCTTTACTGTGTGTATGAGCCTGGAGTCAAATCAAAGAAGCCTGTTTCCCTCTGGAAAGAGTTGTCGAGAGGTGGGAACAAAAAGGTGAACAGCCTAGATGGGAAGATGTCCTGTGTTACCAGGCTTTGTCAGTGAGGTCTTTGACACACTAAGCTTCCTCAGGCCACTGGAGATGGTTTGGAGACTGAAAAGTTGGTGGAGAAATCCCTTCTCGGGTCTCTCTGGACACTGCAACAACAAGATAACAACAGCCCTGAGTTTCACTGCAGAGCTGTTATGACAGCAATTGTCTGTCGTTTTGGAGAAACAAAGTGCTTTGTTCTTTAGAGGCTTTGAGGGAGTAGTTCACTTTGAGCTGTGAAACTGCTGAATGAAACAGGAAAGCTGGCTCCATCTCTAGTAGTGGCTTCTCTGTCTGTCTTCATGTCCGTGTCAAGAACGGGCTCTTGGTTTTCCTGGAGGCAGCTGTCCATGTTCTACAAGGATATCGTGATTGTTGCAGGGATGTGTTATGTACCGTTGCTGAATTCTGGTCGGTTTTAGACACTCAGTGCTCGCTTCCCTCTTCTCTTGCTGGATTTGATAGGCTTTCTCACAGGTGTAGGCTGCGGTGGTTAAATTACTTCTGGCTAGCAGATTTAGAGAGCTACCCAGGCAGGGGGTGTTAAAGTTTATGCCTTGCTTCCCGTTCTCTTTCAAGGGTCCTTTTCCACCATGTGCTCCTGAGTAAAAATAAGTGTGGGGTTGTTTTTTTCTATTTTGATGAAATAGAGATGGCGTTTCTAGGATTCTTCAGTGAGGTTGTCTGCTGCCCCTGTTTACCAGTGCAGAAGAAAAAAGTGCAAGAGTCCCCATTTATGTCATGCTACTCACGCCCAAAACGCTACTTCAGAGCTGGCTGCTCTGTGCTCCTTTGTCCGCTGGCCACCTTGTCCCTTCAGTGGCCGTTCCTGTGCTCGGGGAGCCTCTCTCCAGACAGGCCGGCTGGTGCCTGGCGCTCAGGGCCGCGGGTGTCCGTGTGCCTGCCGCCTCCTGGCTGTTCCCAGTCAAACTCCCTGGTCTCGCTCAGACAGAGAATTCTCTGAATTCTGAATCCTCTGTCAGTCGTAAGCGGAGCATGGTAGTGTGTGCTGTGGCGGGGCAGTTGGCCGCACAGCAGGAAGAGCTCTTCAGCAGTTGGAATCCCAGTTCTCGCTGTCGCTTGTGTGCGCTCTGGTCGTGCGTTCCTCTATGGATTACCTTGTTTATGCTTTGTTGGTTAATTACTTTATAAGTGCACACAAGTGGTAAATGCCGATGGCACGTTGTGTTGGGCTGGAGATGCTCTCCTTGGCTGTTTGTCACGCGCACGTCTCCTGTTCAGCTCGGCTCCTCTCTTGCGGGCCGCAGTGGGCAGTAGCCGTTTGTCGTGTTGATCCTGCCTGTCACTCAGGTTGTCAAGCGCTCTCTTACATCAGCTGTATACTTTGCAATACTTAGACTGTACCTTTTTCTAGCCCGGATAGCTTTGCTCTAACATACATCAAAAGTCCATTTGGTTTAGGGTGACTTTTCTGTGCCTCTTTCCTCTCCATTGAGTAAGACTCTTCCCTAACAGCAATGTGTTTGTGTCTACCTGACGAAGATCCTTCGGCTTTTCCCCCACACAAGTGGGATGGACAGCACTTCTGACTTTCTCTCCACTAAAGGAAAATGTTTTCACTGGACAAGGAGGCAAAATTCTGCATTTAAAGACAGAGCTTTCTGTTTGCTTCCTCATTAGCATTGGGCAGACTGATTTAATTTTAAATCAAGAGTGATCTTGGATTTCCCTGTGAGTCAAAGAATATACAGACTCCCTTGAACTCCTTCATTATCTCAGCAAAACTCGATTCCATTGAAGAGATGTTCTCAAGACTCTGTCCAAAGCTTTATTACAAATTATCCAGGCTCTTACTAATTTTGGTGGCAGGTCTGAAGAACGATCTGTCATCTTCTGAAGGTTCTGTAAGTGGCTCAAAGGCTGCATTAAGATTTCTGACTCATTAAATCAACTGTCTCTTCCCTTTCAAGCTAAGGAATGCTATGCTAAAGCTCGTTTAACCAACGCTGTCTTGCTTTATGAAATCCTTATTTCTGAAGAATTACAGGTTACCTTCTTGGAGATTGGTTTGTGCTCTGCCCGTTGCTGTTGCTGTTGCATCTTAAGAGTTTTGGTTTGACAGAGCTGTGCTGGAGTCTTTATTTTGGTGGAAGAATGGAAGGTTGACCAGCCAGCAGTTGCCGAGTTGATTGTGGGACCGCAGTGAACATATGCTTGGTGCAGAGAGATAGCTTGAAATTCTTCTGCCCATAGGTATGGCAGCATCAGTGCTTCATTTCTGCTGGTAGAGATCCTCACCCGCCTGTGTGGTGTAAACCAGAGGATCTGAGCCGGGCTCAAGACCTGCCTTTTATTGACAAATCAGGCGTTAGCTCACCTTTCTTCCTTTCAGTGTAGGAGGCATAAATACGGATGGAGCGCACGCTGCGATGTGAGGCTCTACCCTTGTACTGCTGTGTGGGCAAAGTCACCTTTTTATTGCTGTCTTGCATTTGAGTGTTTGGAATATGATGCCAATGTTGGGGTTCCAACCACGGTCATCCTTCTCTTTAGAGAGCTTGACGTAGAGGTAGTTAAGGTGGGCAGATCTGGCATCCAAACGAGCTGCTTATGTGTGTGTTTAGTTGCAGAGGAGAAGAAGTCTTTAAAGCGGACTTTTCAGCAAATACAAGAGGAGGAGGATGATGACTACCCTGGGAGCTACTCGCCCCAAGACCCCAGCGCTGGGCCGCTGCTGGTAGGTGGGCTGGGCTGCGGGGGGGGGTTGCCGAGGCACCTCCCGCCTGGGTGCCACAAGGTGGAGCTGCCAACAAGAGAAAGGATGGGAGTGGGGGAGAGGCAGCTGGGGTGCAGTGGAACAGCCTTTCCCTGATGAAGTAGGGTGCCAGTGCTGGGGGACTTCGGGTGGGCTCAGCCATGGTCTGAGTCGTGCTGCCAGCAACCGATCTCAAAGGGCTGCTGGAAGAACAGACCGTATTTTAAATTTTTCTACAACCAGTGTATTTTTTTTTTTTTTTTTTTTGTAGGACATCTCCTTCCATGAGCTATTAAAAAGCTCAGCCTGTGATAGATTTGTATGGAGTTGGTTAGAAAAAACATCTCTGAAGACTTTGTTTTGAGCTGACACGTTAGTGGTGTGGAAATAGGGGGAATGAAATAGAGGATCATTCTGACCATTTGAGGCTACAAAATGAACATATGTTAAACCATTGTCTATTTGAAAAGGATAAAAAAGCCCACCACCCATCTGGTAGACTGTAAACATTGGAAAATAAAAATAAATAACAGTTGTCAAGGAAGTAAGTGAGGGTTTTTTGTTGTTGTTTTCACCTCCAGATGCCTTGCAGCTTATGGTTTCTCTTGATGATAAGCATTGTCTTTGTTACTGTTGGGAATAATTAGCAGTTTGTAAAGAAGTAGTAAATATTAGGTAATGGACGACTTTTTCAGATTAAACAAATATTTATTTAAATTTTCTCAGTGTTTTTATTAGTTTTCAAACTATTGAAATGTAGTTTAAACATTCGTGGTTGTTTACTGGGCGAGTGTTCCAGTTTCAAAATCTTCCCACTAAAACTTCAGTATTTTTTAAAACAAAAGAAACAACACTTTTTTTTCTTCACAGGCTGGGAGTCTCTCCTTTTTTTAGATTTTTTTTTTTTTGAGCAGGGAAGAAATATGGTGTGTCAGGGGAGGTCCACTTAAGGCTGTCTTCATCCACATCCTTTTTAAGCTAGGATATGTCTTGAGTGTATTCATTTAAACTGACACATTTTTCCTCAGTGCACAAAAACCAGCTGTGAGATGAAGCTGAGGAGATACAGTGGAGTCTGGTTTAATTGCAATTGCAAATTAAACTGCAGAGAGCCAGCTGAGCGAAGTGGGGCTAGCAATGGCAAAATCAGGACAATAGAAAGTTTGCTTTAACAGGGATAGCTCTCAGTCATCAAAGCTCATGGTAGGTAACCAGTTACAAAATCCTAGATCTGATAATGATGGAAATCTGATACAGGTTTGGTTTGGGGGTTTTTTGCCGTGTCAGAATGCACCTCTGGAAGAGAACACAAAGGTGCAGGTACGCTCCTGCTGGGCGGGAGGAAGTGCCAGGGGTGCTCAGCTCGGAGCTCTCGTCCCAGCTTGCTGCGGCGCAGAGGGCTGATGGCTGTTTCTCAGACTGGTGTGGTCATGTACTTTTCAGCTTTCTCTTAAATTCTCTTCATTGGAATAAGAAGTTTTCTGCTGCAGAGTCTTGAAAAAGATGATCCTACTGTAATTATGCGCAAGTTCCTGAACACTGGGGTCTTGTAAACTTAGTGAATACTCCCTGTGTTGGGAAGCAACAGTTTAAAAATTACTTGAAGAAAATACTCCAAAAATGGTTGCTTTCAAAGGTGGGTGACCTCAGATGCAGTGGCCACATCCGCAGGAAATGGGATTAGAGTTACCCAGTTGTAATGTTGGCTGACTTGTCTTGTAGACTGAGGATTTGATCAAAGCCCTACAAGACCTGGAAAATGCAGCATCAGGAGACGCAACAGTGCGGCAAAAAATTGCCTCCCTGCCTCAGGAAGTTCAAGATGTTTCATTACTGGAGAAAATTACAGGTATGAAACAGGAAGATGTATGAACATGGGCCCAAAGAATAACTTAGAAATCAAAGTGTTTTCTTCTTTAAATAATCACAATGTATGGCGGAGTGAATTCCTGCTTTTGTGTCGCCGCTTTGTAGCGCTCGGGTAATTGATAGGTACCAATCCTGTGATGTAAAATTGAAGGTGACACTCAGATAGCTTGTTCTACCTCTTTGGCTTTGTGCTTTGAGAATATCAACAGCATTTTGCAAGAATGTAAAGGAAATCAGGCCAGAGTTCTCAGATGGATGTGTTTGATTTTGACCACCTTGACTGTTAGATAGTTTATCAGACTCTGCTGAGTACACACTATTCCTTGATTGCTACGGAAAAGGAAACTCGCTACACCCATTAGTCTGCCAGCCTTTGTTTAAATGGGCTTTTGCAATTGTGTTTGAAAAATAATCTTAATAGAAGCATTTACAGGTTGAACTGATTTGGCTCTTGTTCCTGAAAGTGGTTTTATTTTGGAACTCATTAGGAACTGTCACTTACTCAGTCCTTTATAATGTGCTCTTACAGTGTCCAGCTGTGAAGACTGGTGTGCAGTTCGTATGTTTGCTTGTATTGATCCCTGAGGAGTTATTCAGAGAAAAGAGGAATTGAAAAGTGCACACCATGTTTAAATGGGGAAACTACCTGATTCATTTAGCTGAAAGTACAGCCTGATGCTTTAATTTAACCTGTTGATAGAGACTAACTTCACAATTGATATATCCACCCCCCTGCCATTATTGATACTCTGCGAGAATGAAATGCTGTCAGACATGTCAGTGCCCAGAACCCACCGTTCTGGGGTTGTTAGTCCTGTCCCCTGGGATAAGAACTCCTGTTTTCCGGGTGAGCCAGAAGTGTATTTCTGAATGAGATGTGTGTGTGGCTGGTGAATTGTAGCCCCTCTGTCAGGATGCAGAAGGTTGTAAACTTTGTCCTCTGACGTACCCAACGCTTTTGCCTGTAGACAAGGAGGCAGCGGAGCGTCTCTCGAAGACGGTGGATGAAGCCTGCCTGTTGCTGGCGGAGTACAACGGCCGGCTGGCGGCGGAGCTGGAGGACCGGCGGCAGCTGGCACGCATGCTGATCGAGTACACCCAGAACCAGAAGGATGTCCTGACGGAGAAGGAGAAGAAGCTGGAGGTGAGTAGATTGCCACGGGGCCGGCAGCCCGTTGGCTCAGCCAGTGCGCCCGCGCGACCCTGGTCTGTGTGTTCCCCTCAGACGAGGTGACTCGGGGTGTTATCTTTACATTTGGAGTAAAACAGGGTTAAGAAAGTGGTGGAAAAGGTCTGGAGAAGGCAAGTCTGTCCTGATGTTCAGTCTTGTATGTTTTAGTACACCTGGACCTGGATGGCCCAGAACTCTGAGCTTCTTGCAGCAAAATAGGCTCACCTAGCAGAGTTCCTTCAGATTTACCCTATTGTTTTATGAAATCCCCAGTTCCAAAATACCAACCTCGCTTTGCCATAATTAGCTGGGGTGTTTGTTTGTTGGTGGGGTTTCATTATGGTTCTTCTCCTTATGGTCGGATGCCCTCATCTGCCTTCCCAGCCCCTGCTTGACAAGGGGATGCGGGTGAAACAAGATCTTGCGGTACCATCCTGCAGCAGCCCCTCTAACCCACAGCTTCGGAGATGGAGCGTAAACGGGGCTGAGGCGAGAGACCACGACTTGGGTTTCCTGCCACAGCTCCCTCAGACAAGGAGGGCAGGACACTGTGAAATGAGACTCAGCTGCCTGGACCTGAGCACCAGCTGCACGTCCTGGAGCGAGTGCAGAGGCTGCGGCAGCCAGCCATTTCTCTGAAATGTTCTTTCTCGAAGGAAGTTCTTCCACACTAGTCCCAAGATGCGGTGCTGAAAGTTTAATTAATGATTGTGGTTGTATGTCACTCTGCCATCTGTTAAACTGGCCCTTGGCGGCACATTAAGGGCTTCCTCGGTGCTGTCGGCTGCCGGTTATTACGAGCAGCTGTTGCTGGGTGGGACGTGAGTTGCTGTAGAGGACAAAATCTTCTGGAAGGAGACACTGCTGGTGCAATGTGGGCTGTTTGCTGCCATGACAAACCTAATCCTCTGACAGCTAGGCAACATTGTTCTGAGGTACATTTTGAGTGTTTTCTTTGCCATGTGTGTTTATATTAGAGTTTCTCAACGTCTTGTGACTGTGAACATGTTGCTTTTCCAGAGCAACATGTTTTCCAAATCAGCCAGACAAGTGCTGATTCCGCGTTCAGAATTAGAGTGGGTAGTTAATAATTCTGCTAGATTGTTTAGCTTGAATTTCTTCAAGCATAGCGTCTGTCTTATGACTGAGTCATTAAAAGGCACTTTCAGACATGGATATGAAAGATGCCATAAAATGAATCCTGTTTGGCACCTGATTTATTTGCTGAATACTAGTGGAAGTCGTGTGTCAGGTGGGTTTTTTCCTTGCTGAAAGGACACCTGTCATTGTGTGTGTATATATATAAAAATATATAAATGATAGACAAACTGCTCTTTACTTTTTTTTAAAAAAAAGGCAAAAAATAGGTAGTAAAATGCTACAAAGTAATGTTTTGAAAAGCCCAGAACAATCCATAAATTTGAGTTAGGAAATTAAGAAATTCATAATGACAACATTAATTTAAAGTTTCAAATGCATTAGCTGAAATGTGACAATTGTGCTGGTTTTTGTTTTGGAAAACAAACAAACAAAAATTATGAGTCCCCCCCCTTTCCTGCAGCCCCGTTCAGCCCTGGGGGCCGCTCTAAGGTCTCCCCGGAGCCTTCTCTCCTCCAGCTGAACCCCCCAACTCTCTCAGCCTGTCCTCACAGGGGGATCCAGCCCCCCCAGCATCTCCGTGGCCTCCTCTGGGCTCTCTCCCAGCATGTCCAGTATCCTTTGGGTAAGGAGTGTTACTTAAAAATGGTACCTCTGGCAGAGGCAGAAATGTAATCCTGAAAGAGAAGAGGTTCACTGGCTGAGCTGCTTCATTAATGGGAATAATCCTGCTGATGGCAACAGGACCGGGTGCTTGTCCACGTTAAGTGTAAACACGTTCTTTAATACGTTGGAAACTAAAGAATGATGTTATAAAATATCCGTTCAGGTTAGCATCTTTGTCATTCTGCCAAAACACGGTGGCCTGAGCACGTTAGAAGCCTAGAGCGAGCTGTGGGAAATGCCACTCTATAATACTGCTTAACATGAAGGCACAATTCATGCTCGTGTCGAATCTCAAATCTTAGCTGAGGGATATTGCCTGATTAAAGCCTTCCATTGTTCTTGACTTGTAGGGGGTTAATAAATAGTGGGAGATGTTGGTTACAGATAGGGCAGGTCATATCTGCTCATCAGTTTTGTTTGAGTCTTTGATGTTCTCACAGCAAAGTTGTTGAGAAGCCTGGATTTTTCTTTGTAGTGCTAATAAGCATTTTAATAGAAGGATCTGAAATTCTTGTAGCAATTAAGAATGTATTAAAAAACAAAACAGTTACTCAAGCAAAGGCTGCAATAAGAAAATAACTTAAAACAATCTAATTTTACATGTCTTCTCATTGTATGCTTTGGTCTCTCAGGGTACCCTTTCCAGAATCTTCGGTGCTATTGACTGTGAGTTTTTTCTCCTGACTCTGGGACGAGATGGTGGTTTTAGATAGAGGACGGATTGTTTACTTTGCTCTTCTAATCTACCCAAGGCTGCTGGTTGGGGAAAGTTTCTGATTGCAACATGACTCAAGGCTTTATTTTAAAATATGGAAATGTCTAATTTGGAAATCACTCTCGATGTTTTTTGTATTTTATTTACGCACAAAGCAAAGTCACTGTGATAGCAATGGAAGTAGCTAATCCACATCTTTTGAAAAGCAGCTTTTGTGGTCTAAAGAGCTATAGCTGTTTACTAATCCTATTAATACTGTCCCTCATGAAACACAGCAAATTCTCAAAACATTTACATAAACTCAGCGTAGTTATGTCTAGTGGGCTAATGCTCAAAATACTTTGCAGCGTCAGAACCCTGTGCCATAGAGCTCTTGTCATCAGTTGCAGAAGAGGTGTTCAGCGGAGGGCCGAGACGCTGAGAACGGCGGCTATGGGCGCTGCTCACCCCGGGGCTCACCCAGGGCTGGCTGAGCTGGGGCTGGAACAGCGGGCTGGGAGGAGGCACTGCCAGTCGGAAGGGAGAAAGCTGGCCCAGAGCCTGGGGGCTGTAACACGACAAACTGCTTTTAGGGTACCGACTGCAAAAACTGGGAGTGTAATAATTAGGGTTACTTTATCTGGAGGGGGGGCAGATTGCGATCATTTGATTGTAGTCTCAAAGTGCTTGGGAGGAGGAGGTGGAATTCCTTTAGTCCTGGCAATAGGCTGCAGAGCAAAATCAGCTGGACTAAAGCTGATGCTGAACAGTCTGTAACAAGGCACATGTTCCTAGGGGTAAATATTCCTCAGATTAACTTACTGAAAGGTATGGTGGATCCTGTCGTTCAACATCTGAACACTGAATCTCTTTTTAAATGGCGCTTCATCTCAGTCAGAAGTTGTGGGCTTGATACTGCAGCTGCTCTGTGATCTTCCATGGCCTGGACTTTCATAATAGCTGTCAGGAAATAAAATCCATTTTCAGACAGGCATAGAAACAAGAACTGGTGTTCCTCTAAGAATGAGATAAGGTGTCTTCATATCTCACACGAGTATTTAACTTCCAGTGAAAGTTCTCTGATTTGTGTTATTTTTGGCCATTGCTGTACCGAGTACAATTGGCTGGGGAGGGTTTTTGTCCTTCAGCACCTGAGTCTGCAGAACTTCAAGGGGAAGGAGTGTCTTTGAAGTCGGTGTGCTCTTCCTGAGGGCACAGCAGGCAAGGGCAAAAAACCCAGGGAGTCAGTTTGTGTGAAACTGAAACACAGGGGGAGATGCCCCGGAGAACGTTTCCGTTTTGGTCTGGCAGGTGACTGTAAAATGACATCACCTTAATGGGTGGGACGAGAAGAACCTGGTGGAGATAGTGCTAGAAAATGGCAAATGGCGTGGAAGCTTTGTGGGCGTCTGAAATAGCCAAGTGGAGGAGGGTTGTTTTAATCTGATGGGGAGAGGGGGGGAAGAGAGGAGAGTGTGTCTTCAGATTTTTGTGTTGATTTGCAACGATGCCGAGTTCTTCCCAGTGCCCTCCAGGTATCTTCTGCATCTGTGTTTGCAAAAGGGGACAGGAGGAGCAGGCCCAGTACATGCAGTGTGTACGGGGGGTGCACACAGAAATACGTGTGTGTGTTTGTGTATACAGAACAGACTGTATTTAAGGTCCAGTTTAGGGGAAACTTTCTGATTGTTGACTGCACCTGAAAATTTATAACTTAGAACCCTGCTGAGAGCTGTGCGGGTTTTCAGATGTTGGTGGGTTTTAATATTCATGGCTTCAAGGCACCTTTAATAAGGTGTTAAAGCTGTGTCCGTATGAATTTGCAAACCCTATTCGATAGTGCATGTGAAGGATGAAGTACGGTCTCCGCTGAGGTTTCCTGGACTGCCCTGCACTACACATTTTCTTGAAATACGGTTTAGTTCAGTGGGTTAATGCGCAATTTATTGCTGTGTTGCTGCCACAGCTTAGGCTTTGTTGCATGTCACTGTTGGCACGCCCTTGTGGCTGCTGCTTTCCTCTCAGACGAGAATTCCCGGGCTGTGGTATATTCATTTCAGTGGTTTAGGCAGGGAACAAGAGGTGAGGTTTCAGTTTTTCTGCCAGGAAAAATGTCAGTATTTTACATGCATGCAAGCAGCAGGAGACAGCCCTGGGAACTGGGCAGCAGCGCGGTCTGCTCTGCGCCCTGGGCAGGAGCCCCCAGGCTGAGAGTCGTGCTCGGGGCTGTCGGACTCGGGGGGTGGTGGGCAGGGCAGAGGGCACTGCCCGTTCCCAGCCCCGAGCCGCGTGCCCGGCCTGGCTCTGGGTGTGGTGTGCGGCTCCAGGCAGCACCTGGGTCTCTTCACACAACGCAGCGGTGTCATTTCTTCACTTTGTAGGCACTTTAGGCATTCACAATTGCAGTAGTACTGCAAATGCAATCATACTAAAAAAAAAAGCGAATAAAAATCATCCAATATTAACATACAACATTTTTATGCGTTTTACTGAAGTGAATCAGTGTATAACTGCT